AGATAACCTATACTTTAATAAAGTCCTCTAAATCTTCATGTTATTTTTTCAACACACCTGCAGGTCTTAAACATATTTGGAAGAAAAATTCTTGTTGATTCATGCAAATCCCTGGATTAGTTAAGTAGTCTGAAAGGGTGCAACCAATACTACTAATGACTCGTCATAAGACATAATCAAACATAACAAAAATACCCATTTATTTCACAAAAATTCACAAACCTCAGTAGAACTATTCTCTGTTTGATTATGGATCTATGATTGGTATTTTGTGAAATTTTTCCGTCTGTATTGCTAAGTGTTTTCTCTTCATGTTTCACAAATCCAGAATATAAATTAAAAATGTACAAACATGAACGAAAAGGGGGTCAGATTCTGTAAATAGGTGGGGAACTTTACATCAAGTAGTTTAAAAAATATATAAATTTCATTTCAATATGATATGCCAAAAAAGGAATATTTAGAACTGAAGTGGCACAGGGAAACTTTGTAACTAAGATTTAAGAAATTATAATTCAAATAAAACAAAGACTATGGACTCTTGACAGAGTGACAACTTTAATTTTATTACTGGAATGTCAATAAAGTAGCCATGCTTTGTAATACTTTATTATTTAACGTGTAATATATAATCATTTGGATATGAGTATTTCCGAAAATTTAATGCTACAAAGCATGTTTGACTTGGGATGTCAAATTTTTATGATCATGAATAGGTATAAATTAGAGAATTTACCTGACAAACTTGACTAATGACTTGGTAACAGGTACTTTGCAAACACTTCATCACAGGACGTAGATCAGTTATTATACTGCTTAATTTTTATTGACATCAAGTTTATGATATACTTATATATCAAAAAGTACACAATTTACAACCTGTTTTGCAGCATTGTGAAATCTAAATGAGATTAATGCTGATTTATAATTTATTGCATATACTATCTGGGGGTCCTGTATAATTTATTATATCACGTACTTGGGTGCACATTTCAATTAATTTGTCAAGTACAAGGTTAATTGTAGTCAATTTTTTCTTCTAGAAGTCTCACTGGTCCAAGCACTGATAGAAGTTACCAATCGTCATGTGTTTTCTCACTGGTCCCAGCACTGATAGCAATTACCAATCCACATGTGTTTTCTTACCGGTCCCAGCACTGATAGCAATTACCAATCCTCAGGTGTTTTCTCACTGGTCCAAGTACTGATAGCAATTACCAATCCTCATGTGTTTTCTCACTGGTCCAAGTACTGATAGCAACTACCAATCCTCATGTGTTTTCTTACTGGTCCCAGGACTGATAGCAATTACCAATCAACATGTGTTTTCTTACTGGTCCAAGCACTGATAGCAATTACCAATTAACATGTGTTTTCTTACTGGTCCCAGGACTGATAGCAATTACCAATTCTGATGTGTTTTCCTCAATGGTCCCAGAACTGATAGCAATTACCAATTCTCATGTGTTTTCTCACTGGTCTCCGGACCAATAGAAATTACCAATAATCACGCGTTTTTCTCACTGGTCCCAGCACTGATAGCAATTACCAATCCTCATGTGTTTTGTTATACATCAGTCCACCCACAATTATTACCAATCCTTGTGTAATTTCTCACTGGCACCACCACCAACAGCTATTACCAATCCTTCTGTGTTTTCTCACTAGTCCCACCACCAACAGCTATTACCAATACTTTTGTGTTTTCTCACTAGTCCAACCTTCAACAGCTATTACCAATATTTGTGTGTTTTCTCACTGGTCCCACCACCAATAATTATTACCAATTCTTGTGTGTTTTCTCCCTGGTCCCACCACCAACAGTTATTACCAATCCATGTGCGTTTTCTCACTGGTCCTAGCACAAATAGCTATTACCAACCCTGATGTGTTTTCCACTGGTCCTAGCACAATGTCAAATAGCTATTACCAACCCTGATGTGTTTTCCACTGGTCCTAGCACAAATAGCTATTACCAACACTGATGTGTTTTCCACTGGTCCTAGCACAAATATCTATTACCAACCCTGATGTGTTTTCCACTGGTCCTAGCACAAATAGCTATTACCAACACTGATGTGTTTTCCACTGGTCCTAGCACAAATAGCTATTACCTACCCTGATGTGTTTTCCACTGGTCCTAGCATACATAGCTATTACCAACCCTTATGTGTTTTTCCACTGGTCCTAGCACAAATAGCTATTACCAACACTGATGTGTTTTCCACTGGTCCTAGCACAAATAGCTATTACCAACCCTGGTGTGTTTTCCACTGGTCCTAGCACAATGTCAAATAGCTATTACCAACCCTGATGTGTTTTCCACTGGTCCTAGCACAAATAGCTATTACCAACACTGATGTGTTTTCTACTGGTCCTAGCACAAATAGCTATTACCTACCCTGATGTGTTTTCCACTGGTCCTAGCACAAATAGCTATTACCAACACTGATGTGTTTTCTACTGGTCCTAGCACAAATAGCTATTACCAACCCTGGTGTGTTTTCCACTGGTCCTAGCACAAACAGTTTTTCCATTTCTTGTTTGTTTTCAACTGGTCCTAGCACCAACAGTTATTACCAATCCTTGTGTGATTTAAAGGTTTTTTCAGGGGATTTATTACAGTTTAGAAAACAGTTTTGAAAAGAGAGAGAACAAATGTATTTGACTTCAATGTATATATTCTAAAAAAAAAACATGTTAATATATTAAATAGCTAGTTTTTCATTAGAAATTTCTTCATATTTCCTCATCTGAACAATAGGTTCTTTTAGAGTCCTTTTGTAAGCCATACTGATTCAGTGAAATATGTTCTTTTTTGTGTTGTTAAAATCTTGGATGTTTTTTAGTAAGTATATTGTATGTGGCTTTGTGATAGATATATGAGAAATTAGGTCTTGTAATTTGAGTACTTTAGTAATATTTCAGTAAATCTCTATTCAGCATGTGGTCAGTGTACTTCCTAAGTTCTTCAAAGTAAAAAAAATATACTTAAATCGATAATTGTATGGTTCTGTAAGTGACTTACAGGAAGAAGACAGAAGACTGGATGTTAAAAGATCATGTTTGGACAGACAGTATGAGTGTTTGATCATCAATAATGATCGAGATTAGCTTAATCTACACTACCCATCGGATCGTGACCTAATAATTATCCCAAGATTTGTCCAAATTCCTTATTGATTAGTGCATGACATATGACGATTGAAGAAGTCCTATAGAGATTATAACTTTCAAAGCTTGTCAGCGGTACTCACAGTGGATTAAGGTAGCTTTGTGTGTGAAACAAAATTTTCCAACTTGACATGGCATTGATTTCATAATAATCTTTTTTGATGTAGATTGTTGACATTTATTGAAATATCCATAAGTAATTTATGAGAATAAAACTCAAACATTCCTTTTGTAATATTTTTATGAATTTTAAGTGGGGAATTTGCATTTTTGTTTGTCATTTTAATCTTTATGCTGGTATTAAGATGAATCTCTCCTTACAAAAGCAGTAAACTCAATTATAGTTTTATAAACCAGAATTTTGTTGGACAAAAGAGCAATTAGACTTTTAAACAGAAGAACTTTAGAGATTAAAGCAAGAGTTATGGACAATTGGAGTCCATTAAAAGTTTTGAAAATTGTTAGCAGAAGGTTATTATAGTATTTATACCCACAACATAGTGTAAAATCCTCTGAATGAATACTTCCGTTACCAGTGTATTAGTAGTAGTAGGCTGAAAGTCCTAGAGTATACCTTTAATCACAACTTTTCAAGACTTTGCAATTTGGAGGTTTATATATTGTAGACATTTGTCTACTGTCAATGACTATGTTGACCTTGTGTAGAAGTCTTTGGTTTTTTGTGCCATTGGGTTGCTGTCTCATTGATTGATAGCCAACATATTGATAGTAATTTATCTGACTGAGTATCATATCAATAATATACTGTTTAACATGTAACTGTTTTATTGTGCTTACCTGTAACATTATGTTGGTGATTAAACTGTACAAAAACTTTAATCCTGTAGCTTTTTTTTCATAAAAATCTTATGACAAATTGATAACCAGTTAAACCGAATTGAGCATGATTTATGAGTTATTTTTCTCCTGAGAGATTTTGTGAAAACAGCACTGCAATACTCAGTGTCAGACTTTAAATTGTTGCTTGAATTTTAGAATTGTTTCATTGTATTATAAAGTCAACCATTCAACAGTTGATATTTGAATAATTTGTAATGCTAAGTTACATTTGTAACATTGTAACAAAACCTCATTGTTATAGAATAAAAAATAAAGAGCAGCACATTGTTAAAACAAACCTGTTATAGTGAAGCACATTTTTATAACAAACTGCTATTGTATAGCACATTGTTATAACAAACCTGCTATAGATTATCACAGTGTTATAACAGAACTGCTATAATGTAGCATGTTACAATAACAAATCTGCTATAGTGTAGCACATTGTTATAACAAACCTGCTATAGTGTAACATGTTACAATAACTAACCTGCTATAATGTAGCATGTTACAATAACAAACCTGCTATAGTGTAGCACATTGTAATAATAAACCTGCTATAATGTAGCACGTTACAATAACAAATCTGCCACATTGAAATAACAAACCTGATATAGTAAAGCACATTGTTATAACAAACCTGATATAGATTATCACAGTGTTATAACAAACCTGCTATAATGTAGCACATTACAATTACCAACCTGCTATGGTTTAATGCTTTACAACTACAATCTTTCTATAGTGTAGCACATTACAATATCAAGTCTTCTATAGTGTACCACATGCAATTACCAACTTGCTATGGTGTAGCACATTACAATTTGCAACCAGATTTAACATAGCACAATAAAATAACAAATCTTCTATGGTGTAGCACATTATAATATCCAACATTACACAATAATATAATACTTAAAAGTACAAACGGGCAGCGAATTGTTACTATGTATCATGATAATATTTCAGTGTGTTATTTTTTCCAGAACAAAGGAAGAAGTGTGTTTTAGATGGACAGTCCCCATGTTGTCCTGTTTGTGGTATTACATTAAGAGCTGGAGAAATAGAACACCACTTCACCCTTGAGATGGAGAAACTAGACAGACTTGTAAGGTAGGTACAGATGACCTCTATGTAACCTAACACATTATACTTTCCCACCAGGAGTAACTTCCCTTTGCAAGATGTGAAAGAAGTTGTCTTTGTTGAGAGCAGGTTCACTCTGCACAATTTCACTTTTCAAGAGACTTCCCTTTGTATGTTTTTTTTTCTGTAAAAGAGTTTCAATAAAGTTGTTTAATATTAATATTTGTGTAAATTCTGAGTATGAGTCTGTTTTACTCCAATAAATTTTGCTTTGTAAGATCTGTATGAATGGGAGGTAACTGATAACTGTGAAGTTTCCAATGAAATAGGATATTTAAGCCTTGAGATAGCACATACAGTTTGGATATATGATTTCCAACATTATGACTTCTAGGTCAGATTGTTGTTCTCTCTCTGATATTTAGTAGAATTTAGAAAAAATAAGTTTGAAAGTGTACAAACTAAACAAAATATTTGTGGAAGTATTTGGACTCTGATAACTTCTTATATTGTATAATTTCAAGCTGCCATAATAACCTGTCTTTGGTATCAGAGTAGAAAAATGTAGCATTTCTCTATATAGATTGATAAAATATTGTGCGTTCCAGTATCCCTGAAAAGTGTTTACTCTCTTCATAACCAAGAGAAAATAAAAATAGTTATGTTCTTTTATTTTTAATTTCCACTTTGATAAATTAAACTGTCTGCAGTAATTTTCAAAGACAACTTTTTATTCGAAGGCGTAATGCTATTTTACATATTATATAAGAACAAACACTTAAAACTTTCCTCTCATGTGCAAGCTGTTGTTAACAAATTTAGAATGTTTTTGATTCTTTTAAGTTCTAAATACAGTTTTACAATAAAACACAGAAGCATGCTATTGTTTTCTTTTCATAAAAAGATGAAAGGGTTTTAGATACACTGTATGGTGAACTGATAGTCTTTGGCCTCTATACCTGTCCTCAAGGTCACTTTCTGTGCTTTTGTAACTGAGACAGAAATTTTGGAATTTGGTTGAAACAGTACTTTCATTATTTTGTGTATACACATGTTATTAAAAATTGGTTATATCAACAAATTATGAGTAACTGAAGGCCGATATATACAGAAGACCCCTAACCTGCCTTCCAGGTTTCATTTCTGGAGGTGAAAACAATGGATAAGACATTTGATTGGTAGTTCAGTAATATAAGCAGTATGATTGGTTGTCGAATACTTTAAATTTTGATAAAAACTCAAATGTATTTTGACACCATGTAACATGTTTAGTAATGTGTACCATAATGAAAATGTAATATCGAAAAATGACGAAATGATAAGAATTATTTAAAATGAAGGAAATCACAACTTTCAGAAGTATAAAGAGAGCCTAAAGTGACTGTTTAAGGCCAAATTAATTTATAATTTCATAGCTGACTAGTATGTGAAGCAAATTATCATTGTAATATGTGCCACCTGGTATTGTTCAGTAATGGGCTCCTGTAAAAATCTCCATGAAAAATATCACTTATACTTTAATGGCCGTAATTTGTATTGTGATATAAAATATTATTAATTTATTCCACCTTATCACATGTGTAGCAGTCATTTCTGTAAATGATTTTAGATTTTCCATAAAATCTTTTGTAGTGACCAAATCAAGTATTTTATATTGTACGATATTTGAGTTAATAGAAGAGGATTATAACAATACAGAGAGACATTAAGTTACTAGATATTGCAACTTCGTTGTCAGTCAAAATGAAAAATTTAGTCGCAATGAGTTCCATTTTTGTGATTGTAATTCGTTAAGGTGCAGATCTGCAGGTGTATATAGTTATATGATGATTAACTGATTTTGCATTCTTAACAAATTTAATATGATGAAATTCTTCATATTTTCTATATTAGGTTTTAATGGTCTTTCTAAATTTTATGTACTTGTTGGCTAAATCTGATTTAAACACTGAAATTTTTCATAAATATAATGTTAGCAGGTAGTAGCTATATGTACATTTTTATGCATGATTTTGTATGCATAAAACAAAAATGTACAAACTAGTGCAGTACACCTTTTCTAAGATCGCCAAAGAAAATCCTTAAATTCCACATCCATTAGTAGTTTGTACTTCTCAAATAACACCAATATTTTATTTCAATGTAAAAATTCATAGTGCATTTTATTTTTGTTTGAATCAAATTCTTAGTGCATTTTTTGTGGGAAAAGTTGCCAGAAAGTGATTCCAAATATGAAATATGAAAATCAAAATAAAAAATTCTCATTTAATGATTCAGTTTTAGTAATGAAGCAAATGATTGGATATTTATTTGTTGATATTACAACTTATTAAGCAAACAATACAAATAATTCTAACAAATGTACTTCCGATTCTCAATTTGAAAAATACTTAAGCATTTTATTGAGGCAGATGACTGAGTTATGCGAATGTTTTATTATCTAATTGAAAGCTAGTTTTAAGGACAAATGCAGATTTGACCATATAGAAAGCTTTGTATAAAGGTACGAGTGGCAACAATTATTGTTATATTAGAAATAATTTGCACTTCCAAATATTCAATATAGTACCAAGTAAAACAATCATTAAATACGATGCGACTTTGATCATTCCATTCATTGGTTGGTTTATACTTCAGTATTATTATTTTTTATTGATTTTAACGGTAAAAAACTTAAAAGGATTGTTCATAGTTCAGTTCAAAGATTTGTGTTGCCATTACACATTATTTATTTAGAATTAGACACAGGAATAAAGAACATCCAAGTGGAAATAACGTAAATCTGTTACATTTTCTTTAAGCAATTATGGTACTTCAATTTTCATTATTTACTAATCAACATGTAACATAAAATATAAACAACAGTATAACGACATGCTGCATTAAGTATATAGGCACTACCGCTTTATAACTTCGTTTTCTTTGTTATTATTAGGTTTTGATATAAACATAACAAAAGACCAGAATGTTGCATATCAAACTGAACCAAATAGTGTTTTGATGTTCATAAAAAATATTGTTAAAATGGAAAATTCCTTGGAAAGTTCTTTTATTCTTTGATTTTGTTGATTTTCAAAAAAGATTAGTAAAACAACAGATTTTATTAATTAGATTTTCAATATAATTATTTTGAAATCAATTCTGATTTGCAAAGTTTCAGTTAATTTTATTTTAAAAGTACTTATATAACTATATGGTATAAATGTTAAAAATAATTATATTAATGGAGAAAAAAATACTCCTAATTTGATAAAATCATGATAGACAATTTTTCTTCTCCTTACGTAGAAAAATACAGAGAAAATTATCATTATTTTATTTAGGTTCCCAGACGTCCTGTCACAACACTGTGAACAGATGTATAAATAACTTAATTACAATAGTAAACAATAGCCTAACAAGTGAATCCATTCATCAGATTGGCCAGTCACGACTTGCTGAAAAACTCATCTTGTTCAATTTAATTAGTAAATTGTGTATGTATTAGGTTGTCTTAGAAATGACAGAAAATGTCAGCTATTTATAAGTGACCAAACCAATTACGGACTAATGAGTACAAATAATTTAGTTATTGTTTGATACTAATTAAATTGTTGGTTGATTAATGGAGAAATGTAAAACCTTTGGCTGTTTAGATTCAATTAACTGGACAGTATGGTTAATGAAGTTCTTCATGACGAATTACTACTCCAAAATACTCATCTAAAATAGTTTTTCCTGAGGAATTACCACTGCAAAATACTCATTCAAAATAGTTCTTAACAAAATATTAAGTTGCAAAATACTCATTCAAAATTGTTCTTCCTGACGAATTACTGTCACTGCAAAATTTGTTCAAATCAGTTCTGAAGCAAATTACTTCACAACTGAAAAGCTGTATTTCTTGAAAATCTTTAGGATTTTTCTCTTTATTGAAAAGAGGACACAACTCACTCTATTTGATTTCAGTAAGCAGCACTGTTTCGATCTGTGTTTTCAGTTTGCATTCACATGTGAAAATATTGCATGAATGAGGTCATGAGTAGAAAGTATTCATATGTTATAAAGAAGAAAACATGGTAAATACATAGACAATTTATCATTTATTTTTTTTGTCTCAATTGCTGAGGAAGCAAGGTTTATACATGCTATTGTTGGTGTTGGGGGTGATTACACTAGTTAAAGTTTGTGATAATACATATTTCTGTGTTTCCAGTATACTTAATAATAACTTTTCATTTTTACTTCCATAAAAAAGAAGACCACCTTTTACGATATCGATGTTTCCACTGTTTCATGGTTAGATACATTTTTACAAGGTAGAAAAATAAACTTTTTCATATCAGTATCAATTTTTACCTTTCAGATGTGGCAGAAAATCCAGAGATACCACACCACAAGGAAGAAAGGTAGTTAACAATTTTTATATTTTCAAAATATGGATAAATGAATTTTTATTTTTATTTTTTTTGTCCCAAAAATATATATCTGGTTATATTTATATTTTGATAACAAATGAGCTACCCTGGTAGGTAAAATAGATTTTTTTAAATTAAAGGCAAACCAACATAAAAATTTATCTTATAAAGTCTTCAGTAACAAACTCTTTTCAAACTCTTCAAATTTTTACATTAAGAATACATGTTTTTTTGTGGCGTGTGGCCTTTTGTATATTTATTCCAGTTTATAGGTATTTTACAAGTTTTTAATCGACAAATTAGGTTCAGATGAGAGTATTGGATATCTTTCAATGACATTTATTTTCTTTAATTTGATCATTTGATTTGAAGTTTGTGAGACTAATAGAATTGAGTTTTATATTAGATCTCTACATGGCCAACCTTCTAGCATTATGATATCCTTGATATGGAGAGAATTATAGAGACTGTCCCCATGTAGTCATTATCTTAGCAGTGTGTTAAACAATTTCCAGATCTTTTTTTATAACTTCTTAGTAGTAAAATAATGCTAATTTATTAGTAGACTTGAAATTTTAGTCAAATAATTAGAATTAAAATCACACCTTTTACGTATAAATTGTATGTAATTACAAATTAATTATCTCCCTTTTCAAAGAAGTACTGAAATGTCGATTGAATTTCATGCAAAACAGAAATATTTTTCTCTCAGAATTTTTATAACTGATTATTTCAAAAGTACTAGGTCATGAACAAGGTAGCAATTTAATTTGATACACTGATTTTAACCATATTTTTTTCTGAACATTATTTTTGAACAAAGGACATGTACCACAGGAAAGAGGATCATATTTCAATAAAACTTTATAATTTGACAAATTTTGTTTGATTTTATTCAGAAATAAGATACAAAAAGAAAGAAAACTATTTATTTGTAATTTAATGATGTCAGTTAGCCTGAAGTTCTTTTCTCACGTAAGATCCCTTATACACTGTGATGTAACTGTAATACAGTGTTTTCATTGTAACATACAATACTGGTAATAGTTCGGAATGAAGACCATATTTAAATAAATAAATGATTTATTTGCTATCAAGACCATACAAATAAAGAAATAAAACCACACTAAATCTAATTTGCTTATTTTCTTTTCTGATTGCTTAAATTGTTTTACTGTAAAAATATTTTAATTTAAGAATTATTCAATAACTGCTTTATTTTGTTGACATTTTTATGAGACATACATATATTTTAAAAGATTTATTGTAAAGGGCTAAATCTTGCTAAAATTAGTTTTAATTTATTGAAAATGTCTTTTGTCTGTTACTTGCAAACTAGAAAACAAATATACTAAAGGGCAAAAGATCTAAATGTGCAACAAGTCTCTCCACATATGTACCTAAAAAAAAAAAAAAAAAACTGTAGCCCTCATGAATATTTGTGTATTGGTCATTGTTGAATATCAAAGAGTGCCACAACTGAATTCAGTGTTTATGATTGTCTTATTCTTAGGAGATCTTCTTATAACCATCAAAATGAATAACAGCAATAAAAATGTCATTGTATGTGCTCATTTGTTTTACTAAAAAATTGTTCTACTACCGTATTCATTTCCTTCCAAATGGCAAGAAATTATCAAAATGTTATAATAATTATATAATTAGATTTGTTTGACCATTGTAGGGTTTGTCATCACCTCCAGTTAGGCGAGGGAAAGAGTCTCCTGCCACGGAGGTTGTTTCACAATCAAGATTTGAGGTAAAGTTACACTTTTATTGGTGTCATTTCTAAAATATTGACTTTATTCATGGTCACTTTTCAATACAAATTTTACTAATTACAAAGTTAATGGTGAAAGTCACACTTATACCTGTAGGATCATCTGCCAAGTAGAAGGACTATTGATGAAAGTTTATTTTATTTAAACAAATATGAAAATAAGAAAAGTATTTTATTTTAAAAGAAACAATAAAGAATTTAACTTGTAGATATTTAACCACAAAAATGGAAATATTTTGTTGATTCATAGAGATGAAAGGGTTGTTTTAATTAGGTGGGATAGTGGTTAGTTTGTATTACCGATAGTTTGAAAACTATTAGTTAATTGTGAACTGGGTACTTTTCTTTTTTATGGTAAATAACTTTAAAAAATACACAAACATTTATACAGAAATTCATAAAATGTTGATTTCCATATTGAAATGTACGACCGAGTGTTTTACATGATGTGAAAATAAAAGGTGCAGTAAGGAATTGATTGATCAACATATGGGTTGCCCCTATGATTTAAATGTTCATTTGACAGAGAGGATTTACACAGATCAAAGTTAGTATTGTGATGCAAGTCGTCTTCCGTACTGAGTAGCTGTGAATAATTCATTTACAGTGAGCCTTTCTCTCGTCTTTTGTTACAACTGTTTTAGGATATTTCATTGAAGTCTTTAAAAGTAATTAATAGTTGATCAATCAGTCTTTATGTCCCACTTGGAGTTTGTCAAACAAACTTGCAAATAATTGATTACGAATTTTGTTCAAGTTTCACCAGGATTATAATTTTGTCTGTGTTAGCATTAATTAGTTGCGATTCTTTGTCGATATATTTCTGTGTCTGTAGACTATAATTGATCCATAATCTAAAGTTAGTTCTTAGAACATTTGTTGACGATTGTTTTGCCGACCTGCCCCTTATTGACAATTTCACTGCTCATTTTACGCAGTAGCATGTTCGTATGAAAAGGAGAGTAGGGCAATGTTTAAATAAATGGTTGTCATTGTAGAGATAATCTATCAATAGCTGGAGTAGTCAGACAAATTGTATAAATGAAGTTCAATGAATTTTCGAGCAGATACTAATATAAATACTCTTGTAAAGAAACCACAGAAGAAATCGGTGTGGTTTATCTTTGGCGGGGATTAGATAGAGGGATGAAAGGACTTCCTTCACACTAGATAAATGGGTGTTAAATAATGTTCTAATTCTGTGATTAAAATATAATGAGAAACTAATTTAAATGTTTCAATTTATTCTATGCAAATTTTTATCATTTGATATGAGTAAATTACATAAAGTTGTATTCTTTTGATATGAACTAAGTCTTTAATCACTTCAATATTCTGTCAATATGTAAATATTAAGTTTGTTCATTTACCATTCTACTGATAACAATGACTATAATAGTGCTGGATCAGAACATTTTTATTTTCATTTAGAATTTAAATATTTTACATTAATATCAGGAAAATATTTTTTCCTCTAATTATCTGCGATTAATTTGAGATCTTGATTTTGATGTCATTAAGGTGTGATAATTCATCTAAATTTCTGCAGTTAACACAAAAAATATAACATTTCTTTATTGAATTTATTAACTTTGAGATCTATGTGATATTTAGAAAGAGAAAATCAAATTGGTTTTATCCTTTGAACTGAAGTTTGAAGTTTATTGAGTATTTTGTGAAGACAGCTGATATTCAGTTCCCAGGAACAAGAAAAAAGTTAAAATGTTAATGATAGAAATGGGAGTTATTGTAAACTTAATTTTTGTTTTTATAGAAATAAACATGAAACAGTCAATATGAATGATTTTACTCCTTTCCAAGTGAACCTGCCTATTTGACAGAAATTATTTTTGCATATTATATCACCTTTTCTGTGAGTTATTCAAAAATACTGTTTAAAGGAAGATTTATATCAGTGTCTGTGTCCAAAGACTGACAAGGAAAAGATTTGTTTTAAATCATTTGTCTTATGCTCAGTCAAAAAGAAAAGATTAGTTTAACCATGTCAAATCAGATTTCCTTGGTTTTAAATAATGTTTTTCTAATACTGTCAAAACCTTGTCAGACAAAACCGACTCAAACTGACCACAGGAGAGACAAAAGGCCTGGAACACTGACCTTAACATTAACACTGCACATATTAATTAACCCTAAAATACAGCTACAGTTCAATTTAGCATAGGCCATTATAAAGATACAAATTATAACTGGCAGACAGAACTGATTTGTTGTCCTCATACTGGCAAATTTATATTTTATGGGAAGAAATACATTGTATTTAAAATGTGATTAAACTAAATGATATTGTATTATTTCTTTTTCCTTCTTAAAGGAAATTAAAAATTTAATATGGGTTTTTATTAAATAGATAAAATATTCAAGTACAATAATATATAGTACATGTATCGTTTTATAATGGAGTCTTTAACCAGGCTCTGACAAAAAAGTATTGCATGGTTGTCAATAATTTTATATATTTATTAATCCAAATTACAAGAAGCGTTGTAAACAAGAAGGATTAGGACAAATTAACATAAGTAGCTTGAATTAATTTAATGGAAATATAAATGTATTCTGACACCCCATATCCCTATATTTTAATGGAAAAAAGAAGTAATGTGGACTTAGGTTATTTTGTGTTAACAATTTCTGTTATATTTATGGATTGTAAGCTGTTAATAGTATTTGTACATATCTCCCTAAAGGAATATCATTTCACTTATCACGTCATCACGAGTCAAATTATTAAAAAAAATAATTACTGCATTTTAGTGTAACTGATCTGAGGACCTTAACGTGATCTCTACTAGTCATAAACATTGTACATGTCATTGGCTCTTTTGGACCTAATTGCTCGTATAGAATGGCTATTGTCCAAGGTGTTAAAGGCTGTGTAATATAAATCTAACCCTATTGTTATTATTCTATTTACAGACGTACCTTAGGATCAAATGTAACCGTCAAGCTCGTCTAACCAGTAAGTTGTCAGTTATTACGTTTCGCTTCCTTCGTGGGTAGTTCCTTGATACTATTGTTTGGAAACTTGGTATGCTGATCAGACAAATTGATAAACTAGGGAGATGCCACAAGTAGTTACGAAATCTTAATCAATTAACAACAGAATGATTTCAGGTTCAAAAGACGACCAATAATTTATTTGGTTTTAAGTAGTGTTTGACAAGCTTTTACAGATTTGAGCAGAGATAGTGGAGTTAAATTGAAAAATAAAACAATTAAAATAAGATCATTCTTTTAGTCAAATGGTGTAAGATAGAACTGGTGACTCAGTTGAATTTGTATTGGGTCTTCTGATATCGTGATAAGTGTTGACAAGCCGTAGAGAAAACGGATCATGCGATATACTCATTTATCACACTTGTAATTATTAAGTCATTAGCTATGAAAAATAAGTCCACTTGAATTTAGATATTGAAACTTATAATTAAGTTAGATAAAAGATTTTACCAAAGGACAGTTAATGCTTGCTGCTTTTTTCTTTCTTTCTTTCTATTTTCAATTTTGATGTTAATGTTAAGAGTAAATGTATTTTGTATTTATCATTATTTTCTTTAATATAAGTTCTTACAACACTATGTATAATAGACAGTTTATTTTCAATTTCAATTGACTTATGATTAATTTGTTATTATATTTTAATATTGGTGTAGGTCGTACTAAAAACAAAAAGAGAAGACCAACTGAAGAAAGTTGCTGTCCAATATGTAACGAGAAATTGTCGGGAACTGCTGAGGAATTAAATGGCCATGTAGAATTATGTCTGAAAAAGGTATGAAAATATTTTAATAGGTATTGTAGATAATTTGTAAAGTATTGAAATTTAGCTGTTATTTTGTTTATTAGAAGTTAAGGAATAAAATATGCAGTCAATTTTTTAAGTCATATTTTGCACACTGGATCATATTCATTGGAGGTTAAAAATTCAGAACACGTCAGATTAAATATTATTGAAAACATTATCAAATCATTAAACATCTGGTATTATGTAATATCAAAATATTTAACACTGGTGTGATGTATATACATGATATACAAATAAATCATTTTAAGATATTTAGAGTATGATTGTTGTTATTTTTACAGCAGAGAGGAGAGCTGGAGGATGAGAACATTGATGTTGAAGGTGATGACGAACAATATGAAGAGTATACCTGGGCAGGGCAGACTCGAATCAGAGCTACCACCATGTTGGAAGGAGGATTTGCAAGTAAGTCTTGACAGTATAGACAGGAAGGCCAGAATAGAATAAGTCATGTTGAGAGGCAAGGGTGAAATCTGATTGGTTTTGCTTCAATCCTTCCTTCTGGTTTGGTGGGATTCCTTAATTATACCCCACGCAATTTATTGCGTCGGGTATAATGTTTTTGACCCGTCCGTCCGTCAGTCCTGTTCTTGTCATCGCAACTACTCTGAAACCACACAACAGAATTTCATGAAATTTTATAGATAATAAGGACATACTATGTAGATGTGCATATCGACAGGAAATTATGATTTGATTTTTTTTCTAGGAGTAATGCCCCTTTGAACTTATTGGCCTCAATATACTACAGTCCGTCAGTCCTGTTCTTGTCATCGCAACTTCTCTGAAACCACACAACAGAATCTCATGAAACTTTGTAGATAATAAGGACCTACTATGTAGATGTGCATATCGACAGGAAATTATGATTCAATTTTTTTTCTAGGAGTTATGCCCCTTTGAACTTATTGGCCTCAATATACTACAGTCCGTCAGTCCTGTTCTTGTAATCACAACTCCTATGAAACCACACAACAGAATTTTATGAAACTTTGTAGATAATAAGGACATACTATGTAGACGTGCATATCGACAGGAAATTATGATTCAATTTTTATGCCCCCGCCATAGGGGAGGGGGCATTAAGTTTACCCTTGTCCGTCTGTACGTACGTACGTACGTCCCAAAATTGGTTTCCGTTCTCTAACTTTAGTTTGCCTCTACCAAATGTTATGAAACTTATACACAATACTTATTACCACAAAACACAGATCAAGTTTGAATTTTGGTGGCGTCACTTTAACCGTTCTAGAGTTATGCACCTTTAGAAATGGAAAAATTGCTAAATTTTTATTTTCTTCTAAATATCAAGTAATTTTTAAAATTGGAGTTATCTTCCTTTGTCCATGATTATAGTTGAATCAACTACAATCAATGCTTTATACAATGCAATGTTTAATTTTGACTTCCACTGATAAAACACAGATCAAGTTGAATTTGGGTAGTGTCACTTTAATCATATTATTGAGTTATGCCCCTTTATAAATCGAAAGATTGCAAAATTTTTAGTTTCCATTCTGTAACTTAAGTTTGCCCCAGCCAAACATTATGAAACCTATACACAATATTCATTACCACAAAACTAAGATCAAGTACAAATTTTTTGTTTCCGTTTTCTAACTTTAGTTTGCCTCAACCAAATGTTATGAAACTTATACACAATGCTTATTACTACATAATACAGATTAAGTATGAAATTTGGTGGCAACACTTTTACCATTATTGAGTTATGTCCCTTTATAAACATAAAAATTGCTGAATTTTTCGTTTCCGTTCTCTAACTTTAGTTTGTCTCAACCAAATGTTATAAAACTTATACACAACCGTTCTAGAGTTATGCGTGTTTACAAATAGAAAAATTGCTGAATTTTTAGTTTCTGTTCTCTACTTAAGTTAGCCTCAACCAAATGTTATGAGACTTACACGCAATGCTAATTACCACAAAACTCGGATCAAGTTCAAATTTGGGTACAGTCACTTTTACCGTTCTTCAGTTATGTCCCTTTATAACTATATGATATGCAAGCGGGGGCATCATCTGTGTCCACATGTGGACACTATCCACATTTATTTTTCTAGGAGTTATGCCTCTTTGCACTGATTGGCCTCAATATACTACTGCAACAGTTTGTCATCGCAACTCCTCTGAAACTACACAACAGAATTTCATGAAACTTTGTAGATAATAAGGACATAATATGTAAATGTGCATATCCACAAGAAATTTTTATCAATTGACATTTTTGTAGGAGTTATGAGTCTGTGACACTTAGGCATTTCGTGAGATTTTGTTTACTCAGTGTCAATGTGGGGGCGTGGGGTATATGAGCGTGCTCACAACGGTTCTTTAATTTTGTCTTGTTACATCAGTCCTAAAGGTTGCACTTTGTAAATACAGCTGTTTCTCAAACCACGCCTCTTTTGGGGAGATATATAATATTCATAGATATGTTAATTTGTTAACGTACTGGTTCCCATTGATGATCTCTGTGTTTCATATCGTAGAAACATCACTTGGGAATGTAACCAGTATAGAAAAACATGGTAGCGCCTAAATTTTAATTCTTAGGAGGTCCAAAAATGGAGGTAAGGGTAGTATAGAATTTTAGTATAAGTTTAAACTCTTAAATGTTCAAGGCATATAAATGTTGAAAATATGCCGCACAGCCCTATATTTTGACCTTTGAATAAAATAGTAGTGCATATAAACTTTCCGTTCTAGGATATTATTTTTCACGAAACTTCATAGTAAAAGTGTCACAGTTTTAGCCGCAAAGGGAGTTCCTATGGGAAATTGCATTGTCTATATTTACAGAATTGCAACCTATATAGGGTTAAAAATTAGAACATACAGAATTTCACAAAATCTTGTTTATCTCAGAGATTTTAAAGAATTTAACTCAAATATGAAGTTTTATAAATATTTCATGAAGATTGAGAAAATCCTGGGCCTAAACTATGATGAGTAAGCATAAATTCACAGTTTACAGTATGTATTGTTTACTTAAAACCCTGAATTAAAAATAAATTCATAATATATGCCTATTTGTAATTTAAATTGGTTAGAAGTGCTTATATTTACTCTTCGCAGTCATTGCAACTCATTGATCCTTCTTAAATATTTTTGGTGGGGTGTTTTTGTCCTGTCGATAACCCAAAAGTACGCCGTAACACCTAAATGTGCTTTTTTGTGACTGCGGCATAAAAAGTACAAGCTAGAATTACAAAAAGACCTCAATAAAACTTACAATAGTGTGTTCTATCCTAAATATGTACCAAATATTCCATATTGCTAGAAACAGGGAAACAATTTAGGAAATGTGAGGCCCCAGGGGCCAAAAAACAGAGAAAAATGCCTCCCCCTGTGTCATAAAACAGATAATTTAACTTCTAAATGCTATGATTTTATTATTTCAAAGGTCTTTTGTAAAGAAAACAATAACTGTGCTAGGAAGTTATGCAAAAATCAGATGTAAGCAGTCATTTCTATCAAACTTTTAGTGAATATATGCACCAGACTGATATCTTTATAAATACAACTTTTGCAAATATGGCTTTGCTTAAACACTTCTAGTTCATATATTAACTAACTTATGTTAGATATATGGTTAGGAATGATACTGTTGTAACATGAATTCTAAACTGACCATTTGAGGCAGAAATTGTGAACTTTAATTGACAAATAGGCATACAGTAAGATGTGGACTGGAGACACAGGCAGGATTGGATACTTTGTATAATCTTGAATGTTGGAATGATTAACTACTAAACATTACATTTATAGTATTTTAAAATGCTTTCAATTTGTTATCAGAATAGTTTCAAACAGGTTTTAGACAGTTCATGTCAGAAAACATGCACATAGGGTAAGCTGGCAATAATTAAAGTCTTGTTTTCAAATTCTTTAAAAAATTGAAACAGAGGTAGGGGTATAAAATGTACTGTAAAAGGAAACTTAGAGTATATGCAGTGATTTCTTTAAGGCTATAATTCTGATAAATAAGTATTGTTGTGAGAAAAAGTGTTTTTAGAGAGTTTTCTATTTGAATAAATGTTTGTATAGGTTGCACTTTGTAAATACAGCTGTTTCTCAAACCACGCCTCTTTTGGGGAGATATATAATATTCATAGATATGTTAATTTGTTAACGTACTGGTTCCCATTGATGATCTCTGTGTTTCATATCGTAGAGACATCACTTGGGAATGTAACCAGTATAGAAAAACATGGTAGCGCCTAAATTTTAATTCTTAGGAGGTCCAAAAATGGAGGTAAGGGTAGTATAGAATTTTAGTATAAGTTTAAACTCTTTAATGTTCAGGGCATATAAATGTTGAAAATATGCCGCACAGCCCTATATTTTGACCTTTGAATAAAATAGTAGTGCATATAAACTTTCCGTTCTAGGATATTATTTTTCTTGAAACTTCATAGTAAAAGTGTCACAGTTTTAGCCGCAAAGGGAGTTCCTATGGGAAATTGCATTGTCTATATTTACAGAATTGCAACCTAAAATCATTCCCCAACCATAGCTGTAGCCCTGATTCTTGTTTTGTTCCATTTCTCTGACCAATAATGTCCCCATCCACTCTTCTACTTACAAAGGTAATCATAATAAATTGGTAGCTCACCAAGTCTTACTAACAAGTAGTCTGCATACAAAATATGGTGTTTGACTGCAGCACTTTTTGATTTTGCCAAACAAAAGTGAAAGTATTGATAAAACTCACCATTTTGTGTCAAATTTGTACACTGTCAACCAAAAAAAATCTCTTTCAAATGTTCTGGTAGTACTAACATCCAACAATGCCCCAGGCAAAAATTATTTAGAAATATTGAAAAAAATCAGAACATACATGTATTTTAAAATTTTGTTTTTAGTTCATGCATGATTTATTAACTTCTTATTTATTTTATCAGTGGTTGATCAACTCTTCATTTGCATAAAGTTTGATGCAGTGCTCTTCTGCTGATTTTTATTGAATACCAATATATCTTGTTAAACATGAGACCTTGATTGTCTGATTCTGAAGTTAATAGTATGTAGGTAATTAGCTAAACCAGTTTGCCGTATTTTTACTCTGACATATTAGTAATCTAAGTGTATTTGTAGTAATTACACCAACTTCATTCATCAAACAATGTCAGCCCAATACACATCATATCTACATAACAAATGATCATTTAATGTTCAACTTCCGTTTGTTCGATGAAAATGGGGATTATGAAAAAATTGTATATGATTATTAGAAACCATGTGTCAATTATAAGTTCACTTTTCTTTATCAAAATAATTGTGTGAGTGTCAGAATTTAATGATGTTGGTCAGAAAAGTTGTTGTATGATTAATGGTGAAAAAGTTAATCAAACACTGTTGTATTACAGGGTTTTCCAATGTAGGTTCATGTTAGCAAAAGATTAAAATTTGTAGTTAATACAAAAATCTGTTTTTAATATTGCAGAAAAAAGTAATAACTGCCAGAGCATAATAATTATGATTAACAAGTTTTATTGGCTTTTGATAGTCCAAAGATTGAAGCATTTGACAAAATATATTCTCCAGCAGCGACAAATTTTGCTAGACTGAATATTGGTACAATTTAAAAACTTACCAATGCAAAGTGTGTAGTTTAAAACTTTAATCTAATGTTATAGCCATAACCACTGTTATGTTACTCAAAATACAACATAGGGCTAAAGTGACTAAAGTACTCAATTGTAAAATCCTGAAAAATCATTTCAATGTCAATCATATATTAACAGTCTCTTTTAGAAACTACCTACCGGTATGTTTGATCATTCAGCACCAAACTTAGCTAGGGTGTCTTCATTACTTTGTTCAACATTTGTTTTTATAGGATCAGGATTTCAGACCATGTGTAAGAGAACATCTGATGAAGAGGTTGATTTAAATGTTGATGGAGATGATTCAGAAATGTATGGACGACCTCAGTATCCTTAAATCAAAGTTATACTTGTATTGTGTAGATAGTATGCAGTTTCTACCCAGGAGATCCACAAATAATAAACTAGAAATACTGCCATAAAAACATAATATCTAGCTGCAAATTGCACAAATTCATTATTTTTGGTCAAACATTAAATTTTCTGAATTTTTTATTCACATCCACGGGCCAATACTTCAGATGAATAGACTGATGAAAACATTCCCTAACATTCCAGTGATGGGAATAGACTGAGGAAAACATTCCCTAACATTCCAGTGATGGGAATAGACTGATGAAAACATTCCCTAACATTCCAGTGATGGGAATAGACTGAGGAAAACATTCCCTAACATTCCAGTGATGGGAATAGACTGAGGAAAACATTCCCTAACATTCCAGTGATGGGAAAATTACAATATATCTTTATCATGAAAATGTACTATAACAATACTCAAAATTACAACATTTCTCAATCATGAAAATGTACTATAACAATACTCAAAATTACAACATATCTTAATCATGAAAATGTACTATAACAATACTCAAAGACTAGAATAAAACACATCCTCAAAACACTTTGTATATTTAGCAAAGTGATTAATAATGTCAACTATATTGAAAGTAAAGAAGATTTAATTGAATTTATGAAGGGTTTATTTTTTTTTCTGCAAAAAAGGTTAAAAAAAAAAGGAGTTTTCCTTAACCATGACAAGATATAATGAAGCTGATATTATACCTTGTTCCTCAGAGGAACCTAATGAGGAGAGAGAAAGGGAAGCACTACGTGGGGCTGTGTTAGGGTAGGTACCTAACCATGTAAAAATTGTTATTTAATTCTGTGATTATTTTATACCTTGTTCCTCAGAGGAAGCAAATGCAGAGAGGGATATTGTGGCACAACATGGGGCTGTATTAGGGTAGATCCTTACTTTGTAAACAACATGGGGCTGTATTAGGGTAGATCCTTACTTTGTAAACAACATAGGGCTGTATTAGGGTAGATCCTTACTAAAAATGTAAACAACATAGGGCTGTATTAGGGTAGATCCTTACTTTGTAAACAACATAGGGCTGTATTAGGGTAGATCCTTACTTTGTAAACAACATGGGGCTGTATTAGGGTAGATCCTTACTTTGTAAACAACATGGGGCTGTATTAGGGTAGATCCTTACTTTGTAAACAACATGGGGCTGTATTAGGGTAGATCCTTACTTTGTAAACAACATGGGGCTGTATTAGGGTAGATCCTTACTAAAAATGTAAACAACATAGGGCTGTATTAGGGTAGATCCTTACTTTGTAAACAACATAGGGCTGTATTAGGGTAGATCCTTACTTTGTAAACAACATGGGGCTGTATTAGGGTAGATCCTTACTTTGTAAACAACATGGGGCTGTATTAGGGTAGATCCTTACTATGTAAACAAAATTGTCATTGATTTCTGATATTATACCTTGTTCCTCAGAGGAACCCTATGAGGAGAGAGAATTGGGGGCACTTGAAGGCTGTGTTACAGCCTTATTGAATTTTTTTTTCTTCCAAAAGTCAATAAAACCACATATTTACCTCATCAAAAGACAGTTATTATATAGTGTTCAAACCACATTGCTTCAATAAACATAGCTAAGGTTATCCTAAATATCAGATAGCAACATAAACAGATAAATTACCCTGATCCTATACTGTAATGAGCTTTATACTGGAAAGTGAAATACTTCATGCTTTAGTGGTCAAATGGTCAGTTACAGTCGAGATTAATTGAATCATTAAGATAAACAGATATACAGTTTAATATACTCTTGTCAATTAATGTTTTATTTGATAAGAATTTTTGTGATTTGAATGAAATTTGATCTTATTTTGTTTATTTTACAGAGCATCCTCCAGTTCATCAATACAACCCAAAGGTTAGTTACTAAGAATACAACCACTTCATTAAGCATTAGAATGCCCTCATTAGTCTGTTTATGCATTTGAGACTTTTTATACGACCGCAAAAAAATTTTTGTGGTCGTATATTGGTATGACGTTGGCGTCGTCGTCGTCGTTGTCGTCGTCGTCCGAAGACACATTGGTTTTCGCACTCTAACTTTAGTTTAAGCGAATGGATCTCTATGAAATTTTACCACAAGGTTCAGTACCACAAAAGGAAGGTTGGGAATGATTTCGGGGGTTATGGTACCAACAGTAAAGGAATTAGGGGCCAAAAATAAGCATTTTTGTAACTTCCAGACATAACTTGTGTGTTAGTGTATGGATCTCTCTGACATTGTACCACAAGGTTCCATATCACAAAAGGAATGCTGGGATTGATTTTGGGGGTAATTGCCTCAAATTTTAGGAATAAAGGGCCAAAAAAGGGGCAAAAAACAAGCATTTTTCTAGTTTCATGACAATAACTTGTGTGTAAGTGTATGGATCTTTCTGAAATTGTACTACAAGGTTCCATATCACAAAGGGAAAGCTGGAATTGAGTTTGGGTGTAATTGCCGAAACGTTTAGGAATAAGGGGCCAAAAATAAGCATTTTTCTAGTTTCCAGACTATAACTTGTGTTCAAGTGTATGGATCTCTCTGAAATTGTACTGCAAGGTACCATACCACAAAGGGAAGGCTGGGATTGATGATGGGGGTAATTGCCTCAATATTTTAGGAATTAGGGGCCAAAAAGGGGCAAAAAACAAGCATTTTTCTAGTTTCAGGACAATAACTTGTGTGTAAGTGTATGAATCTTTCTGAAATTATACTACAAGGTTCAATATCACAAAGGGAAAGCTGGGTTTGAGTTTGGGGGTAATTGCCCCAAATGTTTAGGAATTTGGGGCCAAAAAGGGGTCAAAAAAGACATTTTTCTAGTTTCCAGACAATAACTTGTGTTCAAGTGTATGGATCTCTCTGAAATTGTACTGCAAGGTACCATACCACAAAGGGAAGGCTGGGATTGAGTTTGGGGGTGATGAATCATAAGGGGGTTCAAAAAATTTGGGGGGGGGATTTTTTTTTTTTCTTTTTTTTTTCTATTAAAATTTTCCATTTTAAGTTGGTTATTTCTGATTTATATTTAAAAGCAAATAATAATGATATGGTAGGAGATACACACCAAACAGGATGTGTAAATTATTATATAATAAGTATTGTGCAATAGCAAGAAATTTTCAATTGCACAGTATTGCACAATAGCAAGAAATCTTCAATTGCACAGTATTGCGCAATAGCAAGAAATCTTCAATTGCACAGTATTGCGCAATAGCAAGAAATATCCTATAGCACAATATTGCGCAACAGCAAGAAATTGTCAATTGTACAGTATTGCGCAATAGCAAGAAATATTTAATTGCACAGTATTCTGCATAAGAAGATACTTCGTATAAATTGCTTATTTCTTGACCAATTTCAATGGGGTTTTATTCTTGAATTCTTGGGGTTCTTTAATATGCTGAATCTAACCGTGTATTTAGTTTTTGGATTTTGGGCCCCGTTTTTAAATTGGTCCACATTGAGGTCCAAAGGGTCCAAAATTAAACTTTGTTTGATTTCATCAAAAATTGAATTATTGGGGTTCTTTGATATGCCGAATCTAACCGTGTATTTAGATTCTTAATTTTTGGTTCCGTTTTCAAATTGGTCTACATTAAGGTCCAAAGGGTCCAAAATTAAACTTAGTTTGATTTTAACAAAAATTGAATTCTAAGGGTTCTTTGATATGCTGAATCTAAACATGTATTTAGATTTTTGATTATGGGCCCAGTTTTCAAGTTGGTCCAAATCGGGGTCCAAAATTAAACTTTGTTTGATTTCAACAAAAATTGAATATATGGGGTTCTTTGATATGCTGAATCTAACCATGTATTTAGATTTTTGATTTTTGGGCCCTGTTATCAACTTTGTCCGCATTGAGGTCAAAAGGGTCCAAAATTAAACTTTGTTTGATTTCATCAAAAATTGAATTCTTGGGGTTCTTTGATATCCTGAATCTAACCATGTATTTAGATTTTGGATATTGGACCATAATAGGTGAATGTCCAATTTAAAATTTTTAAGTTCTTAGACCACATTCATTCTGTGTTAGAAACCTATGCTGTGTCAAATATTTAATCACAATCCAAATGCAAAGCTGTATCAAGCTTGAATGTTGTGTCCATACTTGCCCCAACTGTTCAGGGTTTGACCTCTGCGGTCGTATCAAGCTGCGCCCTGCGGAGCATTTTATTAAGATTTAAGATTGTTTTCCTTAAATTCAATTAATTTGATTGGTGTACATTTTCATGGTTCTACCATTGTTGAACATGGGATTCTAGAAGGACTTTTTATGCCCCCGCCGTAGTGTAGGGGGCATTAAGTGTTACCCTTGTACGTCTGTCCATACGTACATACGTCCGTACGTCCCAAAGTTGGTTTCCATTCTCTAACTTTTAATTTGCCTCTACCAAATGTTATGAAACTTGTATACAATGCTTTTTACAATTAAAACACAGATCAAGTTTGTATTTTGGTGGTGTCACTTTAACAGTTCCAGAGTTATGCCCGTTTACAAATGGAAAAATAGCTGAATTTTTTGTTTCCGTTCTCCAACTTAAGTTTACCTGAACCAAATGTTATGAAAGTTATACACAATACTTATTACCACAAAACTCAGATCAAGTATTTGGGTAGTGTTACATTTACTGTTCTTCAGTTATGTCCCTTTATAACTTTATATGATATGCAAGCTGGGGCATCATCTGTGTCCCATGGACACATTCCCCATTTATTGTAAGTAAATTGAATTGATTATAAGACAGATGAGAAAAGATAAATTTCTTACATTACATTTGATTACTTGATATAATGTGAAATTTTGAGATTTTGATATTGTAATTTTTTTATTAAATAGTTTATTTATGTCTTTTTGCAGCAAGTACCAGTGGAGAAGGTATGGAGGTAAATGAAGCTGATATGTCACCTTCTCATGATACACAGTAAGTTGGCTTGTAAACACTTTCAAAACAGAGGCTTCCAGTTTACTGTGTTATTTAGTTAAGCTGAAATTTATATTTTAATGTCTTGCCTAAGATGGTGAGAGGTCATTATGTTTTCTGGTCTGTTGGACTACCTCATCAGATTTAAGTTTTGTTTCAAGTAGTTTACCATGAATAAGTGATCATATCTACTTGAAACTAAGTACACATGTTCATTAAGATTTAAAATATGTGCAAAATGAGGGTTTTGACCCAGATTTCACAGTTCACTGATCCGGTTAAAGTTTTGGTTAAAGGGAAGTTAAAATTTTTGTTTTAGGTAGTTTACCGAAAGTTGTGGTCACATTAACTGAAATTTACGTAAAAATCCCATGTTTTTTGGTGGTGTTGATGTTGTTCAGTCTTGTGTTTTCTATGTAGTGTTTTGTGGACTGTTGTTCATCTTTTCATGCAATGGTATTGTCAGTTTTTCCTTGTCTTATAATATTTGGTTGTCCCATTGTCTCTTTTCAGTACACATGTTCATTATGATGTGATTAAAAAAATATACATATATGCCAAATTCGGCTTAGGTCTTTTAAACTTTAAAAAATATGTTCAAAACTGTTTCAAGAAATTTCGTGTGATGTCTGCAAGATGAATGACTAAAAATATTAGTACAAGGGGACATAACTCCTTCATTAAATCATTTTGCTATCGATGATAATTAAAATTATTGTATTGATTACTATTTTAACACCAAAGAAAATGATATTACTTAAAACAACTAATCATTTTATTTACAGATTAGAATCAAACTCCAGTAATGTTATAGAAGCATTAAAAACAAAACTAAAAGATAAAGATACAGACCAAAAAACAAAATGTCTGATTTGTATGGTGAGTATCAATAACTTTGAAGATACAGAACAAACCTGCCTTTACTATTAAAATGTTCTTATACTGAAGAACCAAATTCAACAATATGAAACATTGACAAATATCAATAAAAACAATACAAAAAGATAGAGATAATATATACTTTTGAATTTATATGTCAAATATTAATTTTAAAACAATAACTAGATGACGATAAAGAACAAAAAATAGTAAAAGATACTTGATGATATTAAAAAAGATAAATTTGCATTATATACTTAGTGATGAATAAAATTAAAATGTTTTAAGGGAATTGTTTACAAGTGAACAGCTCATATCTTTGCAGAAAATTATTATTATAATGCTAAATCAGATTGTATTTTGGATTTGTAAGAATTGTGTCTATATTTCAGGAACCCTACAATAAACCTGTGACCTCTATACAATGTTGGCATGTTCACTGTGAAGACTGTTGGTTAAAAACATTGGTAAGTTGTTAGTTTTTGTATCACTGGCTAATGTTAAGGGAAAAATGTTCTTAATTAAAGAATTGCGTTTGTTTGTTTCCCTGTTAACGTTAAAAGATTTCAGACAAAAATTTGAAAGAGGAAGATAATAATTGGCTGGAATAAAGAAGTGAAATGGAGGCAGCCAGTTGTTGATTCATTAAATAAAAATAAGGAGATGTGGTATGATTGCAAATGAGACATCTTTCCACCAGAGTTCAAATGATGAAGATAAAAAGCAATTATAGGTCACCGTACAGCTTTCAACAATAAAAAAAACCCATACCATATAGTCAGCTATAAAAGTCCCTGACTTGAAAAATGTGAAACAATTCAAACTTGTTTTAGAATGAATGTAACTTTATTTTCATATTTGCAGGGAGCTAAGAAGTTATGCCCACAGTGTAATATGATAACCTCTCCTGGAGATTTGAGAAGAATATATTTATAGATTTATGTTGTGACTGACAGATAGGATATGTGTTGGATATTTGTCTCGTGGATTGACAAGATTTAACTATAACTTTGTTGTACAACTGTATTTCAACCAAATAAATCGAGCATTCTTATGCATAGAATTTCAATCAATTAAAGAAAAATACAAAAAGGAGTGAACTTGTGTAGTACATATTCGTCTTTAAAGACAGTGATGTGATATATTGTATTGCTGATAAAAAAAAATAGTAATCTTATTGCACAATCTATTGACGGTTAATTTCACACATAAATAAAATCACATTCATTATGTTTCTGCTTCTGAAATGATTTCATTCTTCTTGCTACCATTAATGGTTAATTCCAGCATTCTGGGTGTCTGCAAATGTATAAATGATGCGTTTTGTTTCTGTCTTTTTGTTATTTCATCAGAGTTAAATAATTTCCTGTATGGATGTGTATGTTGTTATAGCTGATAAATTTTGTGTTTTTTGTGTTACATTGATATTGACTTGAAAGTTATAGGTCCTAGAGTTTTTAAAATTGCTTACATTTTATGATATTACAAAATCTTAGTAATAAGCTTCATTTGGTAGATACTTCTTCAATCTGTCTCTAAAGAGGACAAAACAAAAGTAATGTTAAAGGAAGGATGTGGGGACAGATTTATATTTTACAGTTTGTAAACACTGGTGACAAACAATTTAAAATAAAAATTTATTTTTAAATATTTCTGACTTTAATTGAAAAGAGTTTCATATGAAACTTAGACAATTGTACCATAAGTGGAACTAATGGGATTTTTTGTATTTTAATGTAATTTGCTTTTTATATTTCAAACACGATGGAATTACAATAAAAAAAAATCAATTTTGAAGTGGGTCGTATATATTCCATACACCTATCCAAAAACTAGAGAATATATAAAATCTTTACATCTCATGACTAGATATTAAAAATAAAAGAATACAAAATGTAGATTTGAGAGTTTTTATGCAATTGTTAATGATATAGTGCTACAAGACACCAGTGTATTATATACTAACACTAGTCTGATTGTTGTTGTGTATTAAACCATTGTTTTATACTAATATATGAGAAGATTATCTAGGAATAAAATCATGTTATATTTATTTTGTTTCATTGTCTTATTTAGAGTTTGTTGTGGATTTCATCGCTACAGTCTATTGATAATAAAATTAAAAGTGTCCAGAGTACATCACCAATCCTTGTTGTGGATTTCATCCCTTAGGCTACAGTCTATTTATAGTAAAATTAAAAGTATCCAGAGTACACCACCTGTTCTCTAACTTTAGTTTGCCTCAACCAAATGTTATGAAACTGATACACAATGCTTATTACGATATTTTTGGGTGGCATCACTTGTACAGTTCTCTATGTTATATGCAAGCAGGGGCATCATCTGTGTCCCATGGACAAATTCTCCATTTATTTTTAATGTAAAAATAGGAATGGTAAATTAAGATATGACAGCCTAAAATGTTGAAGTAATAAAGCAAGGGAAGAACATGTAATTTTGTTCTTCATCTTTGAGATCATCTCAATGGACTGAAATGGCTTTTTAGATCATCTGGTTCAGAGAGCTATGTGGCACCTGTGGTCTTTCTGTAACTTTTATAGGTTCTTATTAACAAGTAAAATTCATGTAGTTTCAATATAATTCAAAAAATTTTATTCAGGCTAGTTGTTTATTAATAAAGAATAATATATTGAGGGGCTTTTATAAACCATAATCTCTCATCTTGTTCATGCTGGTGAAAAACATAACTGCCAGAGGCAATTCTTGATTCAGGTCACTGTAAATTCAGAAATTATTGAGTGCATTTATTATTGCGATTTTTGAAGAATGGACAAAAATATGAGATTAGTTATTACAATTTGGAAATAGCTACATATAGATATTTGTATTAGATATCAAAATGCGAGTTCTTATTATTGTGATACTCACCAAGTCGCATTATTCCCATTAATAAAATCCTTGCAATAATTTCTGAATTTACAGTATTCAATTTTCAAATAACTTCTGCCTTGGAGCTGTAAGGCCAAATTCAAAATGCAGAACTTGGTGTCAAATGCATACTTCAGGTGTAACTCATAAGCCATGGATCATAGCCAGACTCCTTTTGGCCTCTATTTATATGTTTACAAAATGGGATATTGTCATTATCCATCTATCAGTCATAGAATTCTTATTGTAATGAAGTTATTTGTTAATGATATTTGTGTATTCTACACAAGGATGTGGATTAGCATATTTATATTCTACTGTGTGTGCATTGGTTTATTTGTTTCTATTGTCTGTGTATTGGTTTATTCATTTCTATTGTGTGTGCATTGGCTTATTCTTAAGACAATTTCAGTTTCTTTATTAAAAAAAATGCTTGCAATCCCTCACACAGTTGGCCTAAGCTATATGTTATAGTAGTCTCTGACCAAAGAACATTTTGGCTGTTCTTGTTTTTTAGCTGTATTTGGTTTTGCATTTTATGTATTTTGCCTCCCTTGAGTGATAAAGTTTATTCCAGCACCAAGTTTTATGCACCCTGACATTGTTATTTAATGTATATATTGTGTAAAGTTGACACTTCAGTTATTGTCTCGTCTGATGCGAGACATGTGGATTATTAAACTAGTTGTATAAAGTTTTATATTTCAGAAGGAAGAATATTTGGATGCCTCGTATCATTTGTATGCAGAAGCCTTATATTACGAACTTTCCGACTGTTATATATCCATTGTTCTTGACCTAATTTTCATGTGAAATACTCTCCGAGTAATAGGATAAACTATATTTGGTGTATAGGATCCTTGCAAAGTCTACATGTTCGACAGACAAGATTCACCTGACATGACCTCATTTAAAGGATCAGTGATCCATGTTCAGTTTTCGTGGTCTCAGATACTATAAGCAATAGGTGATCTATATTTCGTGTGTGGAATGATTGTAATGTGTACATGTCAGACTGACAGGTTTCATCTAACCTTAACCTAATTTTCATATTTCAGTGGTCGATGTTAAGTTTTTGCAGTTTGGTTTGTTTTTCATATACTTTGAACAATAGATCAGCTGTATTTGGTGTATGGCATGATTGTAAGGTGTATATGTGTGTCCGGCAGATTTCATCTGACCTTGACCTTTTTCAGTGGTTCATTGGAACAAATTCACAATGTTAATTTTTCCGGTTTGGTCTATTTCTCAGATACTATAAACAAGAGGGCAACTATATTTGGTGTATTTAATTATTGTTAGGTGTGTAGGTCTGTCTAATAGGTTTCATCTGACCTTGACCTCATTTTCATGGTTCATTAGTCAATGTTTAATTTTCATAATAAGGTCTGTTTCTCGGATACTGTAAGCAATAGGCTAACCATATTAGTTGTATGGTATGATTGTAAGGTGTACATGTCTATCTGGCAGGTTTCATCTGACGTCGACCAGATGTACATGGATCATTGATGATGTTACATTTGTGTGATACTTGCAGTAAAAACTTCATATTACAGGCTTTCAGCATAAATTCAATGACTAGAAGTAAAGCAGGCGAGACAATTCAGCGCGTGCACTCTTGTCAAGTTTTTAGTTACTTTAGTGTTTTTAAATGCTATTTTTTTAATAGTCTAAGATCTCCCATCTCACTCAGCAACAACAAAAAGACATGTGTTTTCAGTCTAAGTATACACATGGGGCTGTTTTACTGTGAATTTATGACAAAAAAATGAAAGACATTCTTTTTTGTAAGTCCCACTGGTGTGTTCAACAATTTTAGGTGATATATACGTACCTTTTTCTTCCAAGTCTGGAACCAAGTGCAGATCTTTTGAAAGTTAAAGTCTTACAGATTTGTTGAAATACATGACGATTATGCATATAAAAATAAGAAGGCAGTGGCCGGCACCAGCAATTTGCTATTTTGCCGGCTCTGATTAAAATATCTAAACTAAAGCCGGCAAAATAGCATATTTATATAGCAATGATTATTTTGCCTGTTCTTTGTAAAGAGCGGATTTTAATATTTACTTTTGAAAAGTAGTACGAAATTGTACATTGTCAACATAAAAGAATCAAATTATTACTCATATGGTTAAATAAAATAACAGTATCAATATTTGAGATACATATAATCGTTTAAAAACATTGATCAGTCAAAGTGAAAATAAGAATTTGTAAAAGAAAAAATAGAAATAAAAAAATATTGAGCATCCATTTGTAGCAATGAAATCATATTAAAATAGTAGTTGGAATTACTTTTAGAGCTAGTCACAGTCTAATGTATGCATAAGAATAACATCTCAGATTTTTCAACTGTATATATATGTTGTAAAAATATAAAAGTTAAAATCTCATTGCAGAAAAATTTGATAAAACATTATTCAATCTAACATAATCAATCACATAGCTTCAAAATCAAATATGTTTAAAATTGATTTGCTTTTGAAATAATAGTCAGTTCTTTGAATTGCATATCTGCGTGTAAACAAAATCGTTTTTTACTGGCAAAATTGTCTTCCGCTTACCTAGAGACGGCAAAATAGCATATTTCCTATTTTATTTTATTTGCGCCGGCAAAATAGCCACTGCCAAATAAGAAGATGGTGTATGGTTGCCAATGGAACAACTCTCCACCTGAGACCAAATGACGTAGAAGTTCCATGTTTGTTTCATTGAACGTTTTAGTAAATTGCGTTTTCATTATATCCTCTGAAATAATATGACTAACGTGAATCAAAATCGTGAATTAATTTGGAAACCCATGCCAAAAATAATGCGCGTAAGAGACTTTTTTGCTTGCTGCGTGTTAGTTGTTACATGTATTTGTTTTACATTTCTGGTCTACAATCTTACCCAAAAAATTAGATGTTTTATCAAAATTCCGAAAATTAGCTTTGACAACAGTCCCTAAGTACACGGATTCCTTATTTTGTTTTTATTGGGTGACATATAGATAATTAAAACCAAACGTACCAAAAATAAGGTATGGACGGTATTTTCTTAAGAAATATCTGTTTTGAAAATATCTTAAAAGCCTCCTGAGGCAATTCTTGGTTCTGATAGGCCAATTTTAATAAAATAAAATTGAAACGATTTCTTTAAAACTGAAAAAAGTCAAAGTGATAATTGAGAAGTCCAATTTACAGAATCATCCCATCGTACTATTCAGGCGGCACACATTTGTGGCAATATTTTTCTCCTTTTTCTTTTGAGTAGCATAGTCTAGCAACACCACATTTAAAAACAGTATATCATTTTGTCAGACATCAAAACATTATTCAGCTAGATACATTGCTATTGTTTACGGTTTAGATGCAATATTCTAAATATCATCATCAAAATGAATAATTTGTCATCCGAAAAAAAACCAGCTATACTTCTGATGTTTATTAAGAATGTTTTTAATCAATTTTCTTTTGAGGATAATATTCAAAAGTTAAACGTTTTTTTCTTCTTCTGGAAATGACAATTCTGAATCACCTCAAATTATTTATAATTTTGCATGACTAATACAAATATTGTTACGTCTCAAGTACAGAAATGAAGTTGTAACATATTTTATAAATGGTCGGACCGATTCCTGTCGACTCCAAGGAGATCGAATAGGTTTATTGTTAAAGAGTTCCTCTGTTGACCTTGCATACAGATCCAAGTGAGCGGTACAGACTTTTGAGCATGGGAAAATCAGAGAAATCTTTTGCTTGGCTCATGGTTGTATACAGTTTGCATTTTATATTGTTATCACTTTTGGGAAGAAAGATCTCATTAACCTTATTTATTATGAACAAAAGGAGAGAAGTGAAGTAGGTCTCAATGAAACAACAAACCCATTGACACACAATACTAAAAGACAACAGTAACCCAGTCACGGTCAAAGTTCAACAAATCAAAACTCAGATATTTGAGATGGGACCGTAATTTTGTTTTGTTTCGTGTTTTCAAGGAGTGGTGTGTTTGGTGTAGCTTACATTGACCGAAGTGAGCTTTATGAACTCTTAAACGTGTTTTAAGATATAAATTATTGACTAAAAGGAGATGTAGGTTTACGTCAATGAGAACTAACCTGATAGAGAACACAAAAGACATTTTGAGGTCGACATACGGACTCAACTATAGATGTCAAACTCTAGATCGCCCTAAGTCTAAACAAACTGTGACTGAATTTACCTGGGACTATTAAAAGAGAGGCGAAGGATACGAAAGGTACATCCAAACTCATAAGTCGAAAAATAAACTGACAAATGGCTAAAAAATGAAAAAGACAAACAGACAAACAGACAAACAGACAAACAAAACACAACATAGAAAACCAAAGACTGAGCACCACGAACCCCACCAAAAACTGGGGTGATCTCAGGTGCTCCGGAAGGATAAGCAGGGGATTGTAGTTACGACAATTGGAACATATCCGTTGTCATCTGTGATGTAAGTCAAAATATGAGGCAGACTTAACTGCATCTGTTGTATCCTTTACCCCAAGTTCGATGGGATAGATGCGTTCAACATAGTCACCAAATTCTGAACTATTTATAGTGAGAGAACATCATCTATATAGCGGAAAGTGAAGTAAAAGAATACTGCTAACTTCTATTCTTTCTTCCTGAAAAGTTCCTGTGTGAAGTCAGCCTCATATGAATAACGGCAGAGTCGACAAAGAGAGGAGCACAGTTGGTTCCCATGGGAATGCCGATTGTTTGCTGAAAAACAAGGCTCCAAACGTAACAAATATGTTGTAAATCAAGAAATCAAGCATCTTGATATTGTCAGTTCAGAGATTATTTTGTTTGTTTTGAATTTTTACAAAGTAAGATGTATCCCTCCCCAAGACAAGCAACTTGTATCTACGCAGGCCATTCTTTTTTATGAATCAAAGCAGGACCAACTCTATCAATTTGTCTTTTAGTTTGGAATGGGGAATACTTTTGTAAAGTGTAGAAAATCAAATGTTTAAATACTATTGCAAGATGAAAGAGTCTTAGATTGTATGTACTCTTAAAAGATCTTTGGAATCGTTTAGTATCCACATCTGATTCACGCCACCTCTAGAATAGGTAGTTTCACAATAACTTTGAGTTCTTTGTATGATTGCCAAGGAGACAACTATCCACCAGAGACCAAATGACGTAGAAGTTAACAACTATAAGTCAACAAAACCAAAGTTAAACCACATCTTCATATTTTTATATTATGTGACATTTTGATGTTTTAATTCATTTTTGTTTCGTGTTGTATCGAAGTTATATGGTGTTTATATAGTCATTGAATCTTTTTTCTGTTGAAAAGTTTGTCGTTTTTCTAGGTGCAAAATTTATGAATTGACATTGCGGTTGGTTAAAATTTCTGACGAGTTGAAGAGTCGGATTTGATAAAACAAATTGCAATTGGGTCGAAATTTTGAATGAGCTGTAAATCTTATATAAAGATTAACCTACAAGCGATTTTAATGTAACAATATACATGTAGAAACTAAAAAGCGTATGTTAGATTCATAGTTTGACCCGTTGTATGATTATTTACAATACAAAGAATATCTATAATCTATACCGGGTTATTCTAAAAATAGCATATATACGCTCTTTTTACTTTCTACATGTATTATTGACATGAAAATGATTATAAGTAAATCTCTTTATTTTATTGAACATTTTCTTTATCTTCTTACGGAACAAAAAATAACTTGACAGTAGTATGATATTTTTTTCCACCAGCAATTGAAAGTCATTTTATCGACACCAGTTACTCAAGGATCTACTCTGAACTCGTTCACGGTACAATATGGATGTGGGGTTAGTGATGTGAGTCATTAGACAAAGACATACATAATCTGATTTGTATTTCAATCACATTGTGATATAAACAGAAACAAACAAACGTGGTGTTATATTTATGTTATATACTCCAGTGGAAATAAATACAATATAAACCCAAATTAAATTAACAAATCAGGACAAACTGCATGATGGCAATATTCATGTATGTACAAAATGACAAAAATATATATTCTGTAGCACTTTTCTAACATTTAAATTGTATTCCGTATCGCAATAGCATAGTTCAATCTCAAAATTCATAATCTCTTGCTGAACACTTAATCAAACCCAGTATGTTTTGTCCACTAAAACTGGAACAGAAAACTGAACATTTCTTCCCGGTTGTGGTAAACTATTGAGGCTTACAACATTATGATTAACATCAGTAACGACTCGGCCATGTTTAACTTCCGCAACAAGGTTCTTAGAAGTGTTCTTCTTTAGTGGATAAGTATCCCATGAGAAAGAGCCTTCGTTCAACGGTGTCTGCATGGAAGTCCCGGCTCCTTGGCTGCTTACAGAACTATAATCTAACTCTGCCGTTACACTCCAGCTTCTAAACAATTCTGTAATATTTTGGTTGAAGTTTCCGGTTAAAGGTCCTTGTTCTTGTTGTTGTGGTGGATAAATATCAGCAACATAACTCTGTCCCACAGGACCTTCATAGCCGCACATACTGTTAATAACCCCATGGTTAACGGATGCTGGTTCATTCGATCCGGGTCTGATGGAAGACAGTTCGTCTACAATTTTAGACAAATCTTCTGGACTAACGTTGTCCGACAGTTCAGTAGGGTGTTGTTGTCCCATGGAAGTATGGACACTGTTAGTATGATGAAGAGAAGATATTCCTGTCGGATTCCCCGATGTTATACTACTACCAACACAGGGAAGCATTGAGGTGTTGTCTGTATAGTTGGTATCAGATGATTCTAGACTGCTGGCTTGACTAGTACGGAAAGCATGCGGAGAGAAAAGTGGTGGTTTACCGGACATGATGACGTTGACGTTGGTCATTTTTTGATGATAATAGAGTATACTGCTTGGCAGACTTGGTACACCCATACTATACTCTTCCTCGTACTGACTGGTATGGTCTCTAGCGGTATTATAATTACTGGACTGACTGTCGTGGGAATTGTAATTCTCGTTCGCACTGTACACACTGTTTCGGTTGTGGTCAGTTTCAATTCTGTAGTGGCTAAATTGACTGTTCCTATTATAAGCATCTTCAGGTTTGTTATACACATTGTCGTTTTGTGATGTGTTGTGACGACGGTATGAGATTTCCTCAACAGTGTCTACCTGTGATTCTGAAAGACTTTCTAGCGAAGAATGTGGCGTTGACGGGTAGCTTGTAAAACGAGAATTACCATTCGATAATGGATAAGAATTAGCCATTAGTGTTAACTTTGGTGGTAAGCTTTCATGCTCTGATGCGAACTCGTAGAAATCTGTTGTTGGCGTATTATTATTTGGATAGAAAGGAGAATTCGTGTGCTTGCTGTACCCTGTAAATCCGCTACATGTGTTGTCTGTTGTGTTGGTTTTACTGTATCCAGTGTATCCGCTACATGTGTTGTCTGTTGTGTTGGTTTTACTGTATCCTGTACACCCACTGCAGGTGTTATCTGTCGTGTTGTCTTTGCTATACCCGGTGTACCCGCTATACGTGTTGTTTGTACCAGTAGTGGACATCATGATCCGCTGACTTTTGTCTGGTGAACTAAGTTCCGATTCTTCGTATGATGGTGGAGGAGCTTTCGGTGTAAGCCATGTCAAATGATATGGAGAGAATGGCGGTTGGGCATCAACGTCATAGCTTTTCGTTGTGTTGGTATACATACTTGGAGATTCCATCTCATCGATCGGTGAAAGATTCTGTCGAAGAAGACTCGATCGTGAACCAGCCAGGGCACCGTGAGGCAAGCTGTTTTCCGGAGGACAGAGCTTCCAGTTGTCTTTGTCCCAGTAAAACTTGAACTGTCCAGGATTTGAACTTGTTAGGGGAACTACATTGACCTTATCTGATATATTCAATGGTGTTGTTGATCGAGTCGATCCACGGACATAATCAATCTGCCTAGTTGGTGTTCGTCCAATACCTCGGGAGAAGCGGTCAAATGAGGTGTTGACGCTTCTGTCTACGCTATGTTGATTAGACCTCCTTTTGTCTCTCCACTGGTGCCAGTACAAACAACCAGCAACACAAGCAAGAAACACGCCGATTAAGACAATAGGTACTATAAGGCCCCAGCTGATTGCAGGATCAATATCATCTCCGCTGTCCACTATTTTTGTCGTCAACTTGGTCGTGCTATCGTCAATGCTGGCCAGAAAATCTTCACGTGTCATGTTGTAATCTGAAGAAAAAATATGCAACACAATTACATGGTTTATCTTAATCGTATATCATAGTGTTGACTTTAGACGCGGACAGAACATTGAATTTGATCTTATGTGGTTTCTATTATATGGTAGTTTTATCACATTTTGAAAAGAAACGATGGGGAAAAAATTAAACAAATAAAATACTAGTAGTGCATATCCAAAAATTCAATTTTAACTTGACAGCGTTCACGTGTTGGTTTCTTCTTACCTTTTAAAAAGAGGTACAAAGATATGTTGCAACTTGAACACGTTAGTACAATGTTATCGAAATTTGAGTCAGTCAATTCACAAAATGCGTATAAATTTTCTAATAAAAAAATCATGTATATTTCTTTTTGAGACTTTTGCATTGCATAGTTTAAGTCAACCTTTTTTTTTTAATTTGGATATCAAGTATAGTAATGTTTCTTATGTGATGACGCCTGGAGACTGACACTCAGTACCAATATTACAATGGTATATTGCTTTCTTCTTTTGGGATGTTACTATGGGCATACAAAATCTTATAGTTTCGTAAATAACTCCATTCTTTTAGAGACACTTCAATATGATAATTTTCCAAATTCAATTCCAAGGTCAACTTAATGTCATTGTCATTTCTTCGATCCCATCAAAATCATTTTTTTTTTATTTTGAATAAGTCCTGTGACTAATAGATGAATCTATTTGGTCTCAGATAAATCTGAATCAATTCTTCTATCACATCAAACCACAATTCTTTATTCTTATATATTACTAGTATATTCTAACAAGTTTTAAAAAAAATATCAGGGCTAACATTTCCAGTCTGATTTCCCAGTCTAAGATGAAAATGGCATTTATTAAGGTGATAAAAAACGTTGCTAAGACGACGAATTTGTATATCTTTGTGCTTAGGTTATTTATGAGTATATGTCCTATAGTGTTTTAACAAACCTTTGAGAAGCTGGTCCAGAAATTGTTGGTTAAGCGCTTGTACACCTGTGATATTAAATCTCTGTTTAAGTATTTCCAAAAGTTTGGCTTGTACAGTTGGGTCAATTTCCACTGTGTCTTGACTATAAACAAGCTGTCTTGATGTTTTATTATAGAATCCATCACTAATACTCATGATGCTCTGTAAACAAAATAGTTATTGGTGGAGTAAATGTGTACTGGTTAATTAACGAAAATATAACATGATTACTCATTTTGTCTGTTTTATTCATATATCCAATTAATTACTAATTGTTTATATGATTAAATGTTATTTCAGTAGATTAGCATTTATTTTTTTGGCAAGAATCCTTCTTATGCGTTAAAAAGGTAGAAAAAAGACCGGACATATATACTTTATTCTGATAAACTGCAATAGATACAATGGTACACAGAAGAACATAAGACATTATACGATAATACAAAAGTGAACTAGTTCTCTTCTTCTTCTTTAAGTTTCTAGCGATACTTAATTTATTGAAGATTATTCGCCGAAGTATCAAGGTCTTAAATTTCTCAGTTGAGATAAGAATTATAAATCATTATTAGATCTCTGAAAACTGACATTTTTTTACTCTTTGCCTGAAATACTGTGTAAATAATATCAATATAAATAATATTTTGACGAGTTTTCATCATCTAAAGATAAATCGTCACGGACTTACTTTTCTAATTGGGCCAATTTTATAATGTTCCCCAGTTTGTCCTTAATGAAACTTTATTTTTAACGGATATTTATGTGGAGAGTATGGGCACCTTAAACAATTTTCTGGTATTTTGTATAGATGAGTTGTTAGTATGTTGCAAATGTACATTTTATTTTTAAGAAAAGGGAATTAGAGGTCCAACAAAATGATTTGCTCTGTAATATTGGATACGGGTAGACAATAATTGTATAAAGCGCTAAAACATGTTCAAATTAAATCAAATATGTCCAAATCAAACTTACTTTTCTTGGTTTAATAAACACACCGTTGTTCTCACTAAAAGTCCATGTTATGTTTAAGTAATACTCACTACTGATCTACTTTGGTGCGTATTGCAATTTATCCTCGGGGATAAAATCGAATCGATACCACAATCAAAAACAAAGTTTACTTGCAATTTTTAAATATATTTTTGTTTGCGTTTCTAGCAATTTAGCGTTAAAAATGAAATTGCACAATTCTATTGTGTATCAAGGAAATAGCGCTCCGATTGAGACATATTAAAACATATGATTTGCAAATAGACATGGTATCAATGTAAAACATTTCAAATCAAGACATTCTTTTCATCACTCCTTTTCTCCTCTTTAAATACATATATGTTTATTGCAAAAGAAATACCTATTGACATATAACAATACTAGCGACAACCGGGTATAAAGGACAGCCTCTGTTGTAAAAGCTCTCAATACTTGATCGTCCACGTTTAACTTTGTTTCGACGGAGACTGAATTTGATTTTTGTTCTCATGAGATCTAGCGCTGATTTTTTTTTTTCGTTCCGCTGGATGCTCTGACATTTGCAGTCCTAAGTATGTAATAGGATTTTTGTTGTTGTTGTGTATGCCTGTTAAGGGTTTGTTCTTAATACTTATAGGAAGCATTTCTTTGCCTCCTATCGTTTGCTCCTACTTCTATGTTCTTGACTTCTTGGGAGAAATGTCTTTTGCTGTCTAATGATCATGTAGATAGACAGTCATAGTAAAACACTCATACTGATGGTTTACGTTTGTCCGGGAGGATGTTTTTTAGTACATAAGGAAGACTAACTGTCTGGAATATGTCCGTTGTGATACATAAGGAAGACTAACTGTCCGGAATATGTCCGGTGTGATACTTCAATGTCAACTGTAATTTACTTCTTCAGATTGTAAACCTACTCCACTACAAATTTTATTTTCCTTCTTGTTCAAAGCATATTAATGCAGTTAGATATTAGAACACGAATTTATGGATACAATTAGATGTGTTACACGCGTCAACTGAACAGATGAAACAGCATCCAAACGACACAAACAACCTAAACATATACGGTCTAGTTGTCCTATACCCACATCTACTTTTAGTAATTTACACACAAGACAGACGTCTATAAAATATGTCAAGCTTTAAATCGCCCCGATCATAGAAAAGTTGTGATTATATAAAAGTAACTGAATCAACCATCAACATCAAATTCTCCAAATAAAAAAAACATTAACATATGGCATACGAAACCACTGACGTCCTGTGTTCGAATATTGGTGGCGGTATTCCTAGATGAGTTCAGTCAGCAATGTTATGCAGAACAATACATGCAGGAAGACACATATATGACGTTACGCACGGTGTTCGGTTTAGCAATGGTATACCGTTACGCGACCTTGGTTTTTGTTAATTTTGATCGACTTCTGTACGAAATGTCAGAACTAAGCAATTTTTACACCGATGACATTCTGATTTTAAGTATTTATTAAAAAAAAAAATGGACACTATTAAAAATTGGAAAAAATTCGCAGGATATTATTTGGTTTTATCCCTCATTTTGAACGCTTTTCAGATCAGCAGATGGTTTACCAAACTAGATGGAAGTAAAAATTTTCGTTGTATGTCTTTGATTTTAAATTATTACTCTTTGAAAGAAATTATCACAAAGTATTTCTTAAAATTATATTATTATGCAGAAAGTGTCAAATACAAAAGACATATACATGCGACACTTTAGGTCAATGTTAATAAAATTTATAACATTATAGTGACCAGAGACATATATACACATGTGTATATATATGTCGCTGTATTGACGTTCCGTGCGAAAATGTCAATTTTTGACATGGTAACATTTTTGGGAGACACGGAAAACTTGATGGAAATTAATGAATTATTGAGCGATTCTCTTAAATTGAAGGCTTAAATCAAACGTTAGGACAATCGCATTTCGAAAATAACATTTGTTTTTATATTTGATTTGTCTATCACGATTTTTGACCATCCTAGATTATTATGGGTACTAAAAAAACGTGTTCAACATTTAAGGGAGACACGGAAAATGCCGAATTACATTAAAATGGTATATGATATGTTAAATATAGATATATGTTCGTAAAAAATAATAAAATCACATTTCTATGTAGATGCGACATACCTGTTCTATAATTTTTGTGGAAATATAATAATGCCGAACTACTGGCTGTCATATTTTTGTCTTCGAATTTTCAAATCTTACTCATTACGGAATTTCGAAAATAACCGATGGACTTCGAACTGACTTAAAACTTAACTTGATTGTTTAACGCCATGACTATGATCATAGTATTTCCCTCTTCAGCAAATTTTATCAAAATCTATTCAGTAGTTTGTATTTTTTATTATTTTCTATTTTGAATGGTTGGTTAATTGTTACGTCTTACTCGGTAAAAACGGCATCATGCACACGGAATCATCGCTAAATTTTAAAATAAAACATATTGTTGAATATATTCAAACCAGTTTGTATTTGATTTCGATTAAAAAAATGAATCAAGACAGTTTACTATTACAAAATGCGTAGATTTGATTTGTTTTAATCCTAGTTATGCAGGGTCAGATGGAAAATAGACCGAATACTGTGCGTAACAATTCCAAAAACTGACTACAAAATTTCAATGCAATCAGATAAGAAAAAACCATTCCAGTCTTGCTTCGAACTATAATGTTTATCCCAAAAAATAGAAGACGCAGTAAGTGAAAAATAGTCTACAAGAAAGCTGTAAAGTACGATACAAGAAAGCTGTAAAGTACCGGTACGATACAAGAAAGCTGTAAAGTACGATACAAGAAAGCTGTAAAGTACGATACAAGAAAGCTGTAAAGTACCGGTACGATACAAGAAAGCTGCAAAGTACGATACAAGAAAGCTGTAAAGTACGATACAAGAAAGCTGTAAAGTACGATACAAGAAAGCTGTAAAGTACGATACAAGTAAGCTGTAAAGTACGATACAAGAAAGCTGTAGAGTACGATACAAGAAAGCTGTAAAGTACGATACAAGTAAGCTGTAAAGTAC